TCTATATATATCAAGTCCATCAGGTCTAATGTGTCATTTAAGGCCAGGGTTTCCTTATTGATTTTTTTGTCTGGATGATCTATCTCTTGATGAAAGTAGGGTATTAAAGTCTCCTACTGTTATTGTACTGCTTTCAATTACTCCCTTTAGGTCTGTTAATAATTGCTTTATATATTTTGGTGCTCCTGTGTTGGGTGCATATATATTTATAAATGTAATATCTTCTTGCTGGATTGACCCCTATATCATTATATAATGCTCTTCTTTGTCCTTTATTATAGTTTTTGTTTTATTTTTATTTATTTATTTTTTTAAAGTAGGCTCTATGCCTAGGGTAGAGCCCAGAATGGCGCTTGAACTCATGACCGTGAGATCAAGACCTGAGCTGAAATCAAGAGTCAGACACCTAACCAACTGAGCCACCCAGAAGCCCCTTATAATCTTTGTTTTAAAGTCTATTTTATCTGATAGGAGTATAATTACTCCAGCTTTCTTTTCATTTCCATTTGCATGGAATATCTTTTTCTAACCCTTCCCTTTCACTCTGTGTGTGTCTTTACATCTGAGTCTTATAGGCAGCATATAGATAGATGGGTCTCATTTTTTTATCCATTCAGGCACTCTTTGTCTTTTGATTGGTGAATTTAGTCCATTTACATTTAAAGTAATTTTTAATAAGCATATACTTCCATTGTGTTAATTGTTTTCTGGCTATTTTTGTAGTTCCTCTCTGTTCCTTTCTTTTTCTCTTCCCTTGTGGTTTGCTGGCTTTCTTTAGTGTTATGTTTAATTCCTTTCTCATTTTCTTTTGTGTATTAACTGTAAGTTTTTTCCTTGTGGTTACTGGGAGGTTACCACAAAATATTTTATGCAAATAGCAGTCTGTTTTAACTTGATAGCAACTTAAACACAATTCAGAGCTTACCTTTTTACTTTTCCCCCCACATTTTTTATTTTTGATGATTCCTTTTTATATCTTTTTATTTTATGCTTCCCTTAACTAATTATTTTAATTTCAGTTTACTACTTTTGTCTTTTAACCTTCATGCTTGCTTTATAAGTGATTGATCAATACCTTTGTTATATAGTTACCTTTTCCAGTGAGATTTTTACTTTCCTATGTTTTCTTACTACTTAGCTTAAAGAAGTCCCTTTACCATTTATTGTAGGGCTGGTTTAGTTGTGATGAATACCTTCAGCTTTTGCTTACATGGAAAACTCTCAATCTCTCAAGTTCTGAATGATAACTTTGCTAGGCAGAGAATTTGGGTTGGAAGTTTTTTCCTTTCAGCACTTTGTATATGTCATGACAGTCTTCTGGCATGTAAAGTTTCTACTGAAAAATCTGCTTATATAGCCTTCTAGTGTTTCCCTTGAACATAACAAGTTGTTTTTCTCTTATTGCTTTTAGGATTCTCTCTTAATCCTTAACTCTTACCATTTTAATTATGATGTATCATGGTTTGGATCTCTTTGGGTTCATCTTATATGAAACTCTGGGCTTCCTGGACCTGGATGTTCAGTTCCTTCCCCAGATTAGGGAAGTTTTCAGCTATTCTGAAATCATAATTGTACTCTCAATCCCCTTCACCTGTTATACTCATTCCCCCACTGCCTCCTCTCTGGCAGCCACTAGTTCTGTATAGTTAAGAGTCTGTTTTTTTGTTTTTGTCTCTTTTTTTCTTTGTTTGTTTTGTTTCTTAAAATCCACATATGAGTAAAATCATATGGTATTTGTCTTTCTCTGACTGACTTATTTTGCTTAGCATAATACTCTCTGGATCCATCAGTGTTGTTGCAAATGGCAAGATGTCATTCGTTTTTATGGCTGGGTAATATTTCACTGTGTATATATAACATATCTTCTGTATCCATTCGTCAGTCATGGACACTTAGGTTGCTTCCATATCTTGGCTATTGTAAATAGTGCTGCAATAAACACAGGGGGTGTATATATGTTCTCCAATTAGTGTTTTTGTATTCTTTGGGTAAATACCCAGCAGTGGAATTACTGGATCATATGGTAGTTTTTTTTTTTAACTTTTTGAGGAAACTCCATACTATGTTCCCACAGTGGCTGCACCAGCTTGCATTTATACCAACAGTGTACAAGGGTTCTTTTTTCTTGACATCCTTGTCAACGCTTGTTATTTTTTATCCTTTTGATTGTAGCCATTCTGACAGGTGTGAGGTGATATCTCACGGGTTTTGATTTGCATTTCCTTGATGATTAGTGATGTTGAGCATCTTTTTATGTGTCTGTTGGCCATCTGTATGTCCTGTCTGGAAAAATGTCTATTCCTGTCCTCCGCCCATTTTTTAACTGGATTATTTGGTTTTTTGGTGTTAAGATGTATAAGGTCTTTATATATTTTGGGTATTAACCTCTTATTGGATACATCATTTGCAAATATCCTATTCAGTGGATTGTTTTTTTTGTTTTGTTGATGGTTTCCTTTGCTGGATGAAAGTTTTTTATTTTGGTGTATTCCCAATAGTTTTAATTTTGCTTTTGTTTCCCTTGCCAAAGAAGACACATCTAGAAAAATGTTTCTACCACAGATGTCAAAGAGATTACTGCCTATGTTTTCTTCTAGTTTTATGGCTTCAGGTCTCATATTTAGGTCTTTAACCCATTTTGAGTTTAATTTTGTATATGGTGTAAGAAAGTGATCTGGTTTCATTGTGTGTAGCTGTCCAGTTTTCCCAGCACCATTTTTGAAGAGAATTTTTCCCATTGTATCTTCTTGCTTGCTTAGATTATAGATTATACCATAGATTATACCATACAACATTATTACAGTATTATTGACTATATTCCCTATGCTGTGCTTTTCATCTCCGTGACTTTATTTTATAACTGGAAGTTTGAACCTCTTCATCCCCTTATCTGTTTCACTCATCTTAATTTTTTATTTTTATTTTGCTGTTCTGTCTGGGCAAGTTCCATTGCTTTGTCTTCCAGCCTGCTGATGCATTCTTATACTTCATCCAGTCTGCTGTTGAACCCTTCCAATGTATTTTTCAAATTTCTGTTCAATACTTTCTTATATTTTCTATATCTTTGCTTAAGTTCTCATTGTGTTCAACCAGTTTTCTACTGAGTTCACTGAGCATCTGTATGATAATTTCTTTGAACTTTTTATCAGGTTAGTTGCTTATCTGTGTTTCATTTAGTTCTTTTTCTGAGATTTTGTCATGTTCGTTTGTTTGGAATGTATTACTCTGCCTCCTCATTTTGCCTAATTCTTTGTGTTTGTTTCTATGTATGAGGTAAGTCAGCTACCTCTCCCAGTCTTGAATGAGTGACCTTACATAGGAGATGGTACTATTTGGCCCAGAAATACAATCTCCCAATCACCAAAACCAGGAGCTCAAGGGGTGTCCCCTTTGTGGGCTGTGTGCGCCCTCCTGTTGTGGCAGGGCCTGGGGCTGTGGTTGGTGGGCTATGCTGACACTTGGGCTGCAGGCTGTGTCCACAACTTCTGCAGGGTGTCTTTGGGCAGAGTGCTCTGCAGGGTGTTCCCACTGTTAATAGAATGTTAGAGGAATTCCAAAATAATGCCCACCAGCACTCACATTAGTAAGGTAGACTTGAATCACAAAAATTGCTCCCACTGGTGTCAGTTTCCAGGGAGAGTCCCTGTTGTTTCCAGCCTCTTCGGGCAGACGCTCTTAAGGTTAGCAAATGATTCTCCTTTATCTGTGGTCTATGTACTATTCAAGTTGGTGTTTTACACTGGTTTCTAGGTTGAGCGAGTCTGTGTGTGGGCCCTTTAAGAGCAGGTTTTCTGTTCCCTGCAGCTTTATAGTCTTCCTCAAGGTGATCCCTATTGATTTTCAGAGCTTAGTGTTTTGGGGGCTCGTCTCTTCTGTGCAGGATCTGAAGATTTGGGTGCCAGGTGTAGAACTCAGGTACCTTTGATCCTCTGGGAAAAGTCCACACTTTTGATGTCCCTCCCAATTGTGACCCACCATAGCTGGGGTTTGTTTTATTCCCTAGCAAGTCTGTGTTTCTGCTGCTATCCTTTTATTCTTTGTTGTGAAGGCTCTGTTCATTGAACTTTCAGGTACCTTTCAGAAAGAATTATTCCACAGCTAGTTGTAGGTTTGTTGTGTCTAGAGGAGCTGAGTTCAGGATCTTGTTACACTGCCATCTTGAACCCAGCTCCTTAGATTACATCTTTACTGCAACCACCACCAGGGTTAAAGCAATGCCATATACAGGATGAATTAGAAGACAATTTAGAATAACCTAATTGGTCACTTGGATGGCCACTGAGATGGAAAGGAGATAGCAGTCTCACCCAAGACACTGGAAATAAAAACAGGGAAGACCGATGCCAGAAGTATTGGCAGGACTTGGAAACCAGTAGGACTTGTAGGTGAGGGGAAGGAAAGAACAGCTGAACTTGGGAGACTGGGAGGTTGATGATAACAGGCATAGCAGGTATGAAGGAAGGAAAGGGGGAGTTTCTTGAGGCATGCCATGTTTGAGCTGCTGCTGGTACACCTAGATGGAGATGTCCAAAGGCAGTTTGCAATGTGGGCCTGAAGCATGAAGAGATCTAGGGTCACAGATTGGACTGGGAACATGCCTGTAATGAGGTCACCAAATGAGATAAGATGAAGTCTCACTGTGGAGCTTTGTAGGTTGAATGAATGTCTGCATTAAAGGGCCTGCCGGGTAAGAAGAGCCAACAAAGGCTCTTCTGACCCTGTGTTCTGTAGTCTGTGACAGTTTTGTTCTATAGACTATGGGACATGGGAGGTGGACAGCTACTGCTCTTACAAGTTTATGTGTTATAAAAGAGACATCTGGTGGATTACTGGGTAAGGTTTATTCCTTAGGAAATCTTCCACAGATACACAAACTAAAAAGGAACAAACAAACAAAAATAAATAAGAATGTACATTTTGTTAAATAACCAAGTTTAAAAATGGAATGTGTGTTATGGGAACTATATATTATTATTGCTCTTTACTAATTCTTTTTTCCCCCTTTTTTCTCTAGATTTTACATTGTGCAGTAGGTAAGTATGGAATTCCCCCCTACTATGTACAGTGGGTTCTGCTTTTTTTAAAAGTCATAAATAATAGGTCAACTTGATTATGACTTAATATTGAGAAAACAAAGCTATTTAATCGTTGTATATAAAATTGCTTACATTGGCATGGCTTTTGGTTTCTTAAATGACAGGTACTACTTAGATGTTATCACTGAACCATTTATTAAATGTCACAGCTGTTTCACTGTGTCAATTTAAAGAGGCCCCTCTCATCTTGTTATAAGGGTGACAGAAGCACTAGCATATTCATTAAAATGTGACTTGGGGTCCTGATTCTGGGCTATGTATAAAGCCCTCTCTGTGATCACTTGAATATTACATGCTCTTTCCTTGTGTTTAAAATGGAGTACTACATATATTGCCTATCTCCCAGATGAATACTGAATGAAGGTAAGAGGGATTGGTAAAATCTAAGTATAAGGAGTTATATAAATGTAAGGGATTTCTACTAAAAGCAGATGCAGTGTGTTTTCTTTTTGGGGGAAGGGGCAGGTCATCAAATTCGGCTTCAGAACTGAGGTATAGCTTCTTCTCTGGGGTGGGCTAGACCCTTCTAATCAAATCAAAATCAGTTCTGAAAAGTTGACAGATTCTGTAGAGTAAGCCCATGCTGGTTGCTGTGAGTTTGAACTTGTCTCTGAAAGGGAGGATTTACAGTTGACCTCAGGAAGCACCAAAGGTCTGAAAACTCCAGAGTCATGCATCCAAACCATTTTGGTCCTGTCAACTTAATTCACAAATTAAGTGGGTACTTCCTATATTCAGGGCACTGCACTTGGCACTGTGGAATTCAGAGATGAGGAGACTTAGTTCAGAAGGACACACAGGTGGACACACAGCAAGCTATCCCCTGTAGGTCTTGCAGGGTCACTCTGAAACCTGGCTCCATTAATTTTAAGGAAGACAAAGCATCTTTGTTGTAAACAGCTGCACCTCAGCTAATTTTCTGCTAGGAAGAAGGTCTACAGTCGGGTTTCTCATGATTTGCAGAATTTTGTATGCTTGTGTCTATATTTATTTTAGGGGCGGCTGGGTAGAATTCAAAGCTTTCATTAGATTCCCACAGGAGTATGTGATCCCCAAAAGCTTAAAAAACACTACTTTAGAACCTTTAAGCAAGAGATTTGAAAGGGGCTTGGTGGGGCACCTGGGTGGCAGTCGTTAAGCGTCTGCCTTCGGCTCAGGTCATGATCCCAGGGTCCTGGGATCGAGCCCCGCATCGGGCTTCCTGCTCGGCGGGGAGTCTGCTTCTCCCTCTCCCACTCCCCCTGCTTGTGTTCCCTCTCTCACTGTGTCTCTCTCTGTCAAATAAATAAAATCTTTAAAAAAAAAAAAAAGAAAGGGGCTTGGGGTCTCATCTGCCACATGGTCTGCTTTCTCAGAGGTTATGGGACTTGGGCTGTGTCACATAGCCAGTAAAGGGGTTTTAGCTGATGTACCATTTCACACACGTTTCCTTTTTAATCCTTTATCTACAATTTTGAGATGAACAGTTTTGTCCTTAGATGGTTAAATGAATTTTAAGCATAAGCTTGCAGATTAGGGGATACATTTGGCCAGAGAGAGTTCTGGAACCACGTCAGGCCTTTTCCACGTGATTGAACCCTGTGCCCCATTCTCCCCATTCTCTCCATTCTCTTAACCTTCAGCTGCCTTTAGATGCATGTTTTCTGAGCGTGTGTGCTACATTTTAATTAATATTTCATTGTATTTTAATACCCCGATTCCCTTTATCTTAGAATATATTTTCATACCTCTTTGTAAAATTTCCGCCCCTAGAAATAAAGTTTCTGAGTATATGTATTCATTCATACCAGGAACATTACTGAATGCCTGGCAGGTGCGTGCCAGACATGGGGTTGGACAGTGAGAGTAGAAAGGTGAGCAGGCACAAGCTTGGGTTCAGGAAACCCCCAGTCAGATGGGCACCCTTCTGAGCTCCTCTGGAGGAGTACGCTCCAGACTGTTCATGTCACACTCTGATAGTTTGTGGACAAGTGTCCCCAGGGCCTAGCATGGTACCTGACACATAGTAGATATTAAAAATTCCTTTTTAATTCCTCAAGAACCTTGCTCTGTCAGTGAATCTGTCTCCTGCATCCTCACTTTTTGTCATCCACCTTTTCCTTCTCACAGAATGCTCAGGGTACGCCATCCTAAAAATAATTTTTTAACCTAACCTTTGACCCTACATTCCTCCCTTACCACTACTTAATTCCTTTCTGTCTCTTTTACCAGATTTACGGTGGACTCTTTCCCCTTCCACACTCCCATTAATACCTTAGGCCAGCAGTTGGATCTCCTTGTCCTAGTAAAATTACCCTTTGGTCTAAAATCAGCAACAGTTTCTGCTAAATTCTGAGGGCATGTTTGGAACTTACTGGACTTCTCGACTACATGGGGCACCACTGATGACTCCCTCCATGAGGTCCTGCTCCTTTAGTTTCCATTATACTGAGCCGTTCTGGCTCTTTCTTGTCCTTTGTGGTTCTTTTCTGTCTTTGGGGGTTTTCTTTCTCTCCTTGACTCTTCATTGTGGGCATTCCAAAGGTCTGGCCTAACTCTTTGCTCTTCTGACTGAATATGCCCTCTATAGGTGATCTCTTCCCTTCTCATGCTGTGAGATACTTGTGACACCCACTTTTTTAACTCCAAGCCACCCCGGCACCCCAGACTCCAGATCATCCCTTTACCTGCTGGCTATCTGCTTCTGAATACGCACCTCCTTCTCAGTATGAGTCAGATTCCCAGACTTGTTCTGCCTCCCATATTCTCATAGTCAGGGGCATCACCAGCCACCAACCCATTAGTCACCTAACCTAGACCTAGAGCTCACTCATGGCTCCTCCTCCTCCCTAGCCCCCACTCCCATAGCCAGGTGGTATTCAGATTTTATCATTTCTGTTTCCTGCACATGTTTCAGATTGTCCTGTTTTTTCATCACTATTCAGGGCCTTAGTATGCCTCATCTAGACTCCCATATGGGTCTCCCTGAACTTCTAGGCTTATAATATTAACAGTAATAATAAGAGCCATCATTTATTGAGCATTTACTATGTTCCAGTGCTTTACATTCATTACCTCATTTACTTCCCATTTCACAGGTGACAAGACTGAAGCTTAGGTTTTATTTTTTTCAAGGATTTTATTTATTTATTTTAGAGAGAGAACGCGAGCACAAGTCGGGGGAGGGACGGAGAGAGAGGGAAAAGCAGATTCCTCAATGAGCTCGATTCAGGACCTGAAATCATGACCTGGCCTGAAGTCAGACGCTTAACTGAATAAGCCACCTAGGCGGCCCCTTGGAAGGTTTTATATCTTGCCAAAGTTCACAGGTAATAAGCCCTAGAGCCAGGAATTGAACCTTTGGCTGTGTGACTCTAAACCCATGCTTCACATAGCCCTTGAGGGATTTAGTTAAAGAATAATTCTGAGCTGCTTGTTTTCCTGCTTAAAACCTTTCACTGGTTTCAACTTCTTCATGATTTGGACCCTGCTCGCCTCCCCAGCCTTACCTGTGCCCTGCCTCTCATTCCATGCTTCAGCCACCCTGACCTTTTTGTGAGTCTCCCCTGTTACCGTACTACCGCCCTACTTCCTGCCTCTAGTCTGTGCCAGGCTCTGCTCTCTGTCTGGAATGAGCAGCCCACCCCCTTCGGCTGGCAACTCTTCACCATTCTTCCTCCAATAAACCTACCACGCACTGGCTAGATTAGGCACCATTCTTCACCTTTCTGTAATATCCTGCACTTCACTGTTGTTATACTTTCTGCCATGTATTATGGTCTATCACTGTACCTGTGTCCCCCACCAACACCACTGAATGTTTTGAGAACTGAGAACTATTTCTAATTGATTCTGTATCCCAGCATCTGACAATACAGGGCGCCTAGTGGGAGCTCATAATCTTACAAATTCTGGTGACATTTGTTTCAAAATGTTTTCAGTTCTTTTAAAAAATAAGAATAAACTGTTTCTAGCATTAGTTTAAAGACAGTGCCTTATTTTTTATTCATACAACTCAAGTTTATTTTTGGAATGCTGGTTTCTTTTCTTGTGACTTTGTGAAACTTTTCACTGTAAGAATTTGGTCTTTTAAAACTTGTTTTGGAGCCTTGAGTTTACAGACTGTTTAGTTTACCTACTGTTGTTGAAAAGTCCAGACCTCTGTCACACCTGGCTTATTCATCAGCTGTGTGACTTCCAGGAAGTGACTCAATTTCTGTGTACCTTGTTTCTTCATCAACTAAAGGGGGATGATGCCCACCTCGTAGGGTTGTTGTGCAAATGAAAGGGGACATGCATGAGAAATACTTAGCATAGTGCCTAAAACATGGTAATGCTGAAAACTGCCCCCCAAAATGGGAGCTATGATTATTAACTAAAGCAACGTAATGTCACAGAATGTTAAAAGTTTGTCCCTAATGTAATGTTTAATATTTATATAAGTATAACTTTTCCATATTCTTAGTTTTCTTAAATTATAATTTCTGTGTAAGTGAGTGCTTCAGGACCACTTATTCTTAGTTTGGGTTGGAGCTGCTTCTAGTTCACAGCTGTGACAATGCAAGTGGGCAAAAATAGCTCCAGAAACAGTACATTAAAATTCTGTATGAGGGGCTTATTTCTGTGAGAAGTCAAGCCTTCTGTCCGTGCAAAAGGGTTCCCATGCCCCAATTATTCCAAAGTCAGTGGTTTGTTCTCCATTGATAATGTAGAGATGAGAGTTCTGTTTTGGAGTTGGGGGAGTAATTTTGAACACGTATTGGGGATGTATTTTTTTTTTCTAAGTAAGATATAATTGCCGTCTAACACTGTTTGTTTCAGGTGTACAACATAATGATTTGATATATGTATACATTGCAAAACGATGACCACAATAAATTTAGTTCATGTCCATCACCTCACATAGTTATACTTTTTTTTTCTTGTGATGAGAACTTTTAAGATGACTCTCTTAGTAA